ATACCAATGATGGGGCACTATTTCTCCCATTGATGCTAATGATGGGGCACTATTTCTCCCATTGATAACAATTATGGTCCACTTTTTCTCCCATTGATACTAACGATGGGGTACTGTTCCTCCCCCTAATACCAATGATGGGGCATTGTTTCTCCCTCTGGTCACAGTCTGGCCCCCCTAAAGTTTGAAGGACAGTAAACCAGCCCTTTGCTTGGAAAGTTTGGAGACTCCTGATGTACTGTATTTAAAGGCTTCAGTCATGTTTCCCCTGCCCCCTTCCTACTTTCATCCAGACTATACCTGTTAAAGTGACACTAAAGCTTGTTTTTTTTTTTCTAAAATAACAAACATGTTAAACTTACATGCAGTGATTTTGCACAGAGCAGCCCGATCCTCTCCTTTTCAAGTCCCCTTTGGTGCTCCTGGCTCCTCCCCCTCAAGCAGTGCCCCCAGGAAAAGCCACTCCCCCTGAGGGCACCTCTGCATGCTCATCTCTGAACTGCTGCTCTATGCATCCATAAGACACATAGAGCCATAGCTCAGCCCCGCGCGCCCCCCACTCTCCCCTCATTGGCTCACTGGCTATGATTGACAGCAGCAGGAGCCAATGGGCTTCCGTTGCTGTCTAAGCCAATAAGGAATGAGAGCCCCCAGACAGCAGAGGCTGTCGAGAACTTTGCTAGATTGGAGGGGGTTCAGGTAAGGACGGGGTGGGCTGGGGGGGCAGCTGCACACAGAACGTTTTTTACTTTAATGCATAAAATGCATGAAGGTAAAAACCCTTGAGCCTTTAGAACCACTTTAAGTTCCTGCAGTCTCTACTGATATGTTTTAATCCCACAGACTATTTGCCTTTTATATTGCCCATCTCTAGACTTGTTCTGTCTGATTAATATCATTTTGCAAGTGAGGTCTTCAGAACTAGACACCATATTCTAAACTAGCTCTAACTAAAAGCTGTACTGGGGAATCCAGACCTCTTTCCTCCTGCTGGTGATCTCTATAGTGATACAACCCAAAATTGTATCACTTTTCCCATTGACTAGCCACGCTGTTTGCCTTTTTTTTCAATCATCTGAAATAAATACCCCCCAAATCTTTTTTGTCTCTTTTGTTCCATCCATTACTATACCCCCAAAATTTAAATCTCATAGAGGTTTTTTTTTCCAAAGGTACTTTATTTTGTAGCAATCCCAAGTCATATTCCATGTTACACACACCTCTGGGTATATCAACCCTATTGCACGCCTTTATATCAGTAGCAAAAAAGATATACATTACCCACCAAACCTGTAGTTATATCACTTTCAATAGATTAAACAGAAGAGGATTTAGAACTGAGTCTTGTAATACACCACCAATGACTAATCCCTGTTCCTGGTTAACCCTATTTACAGCCACACTCTGATTTCTATCCTTTAGCCAACTGCATATCTTCTGAAACATTCACAATTTAAGGCAAGCCATAGATGACACGAGATTGCAGGAAAGAAGATTACTCTATTCACCCATCAACACAGTCAGGATAAACACCATCAGGACCCATTACTTTATTAGGCTTTAAGCTCAAAGACCACTTATGCTTGAATTATATGGCCTTTTAAGCCTTATTCACACTGGAACTTGTGCCATTAGCTTTTTTAAACAAAGGAGAAGTCATCTGGAAAGTATAAACAACTTTGATGCCTCCCAGATCGCTTTTCCCTGTGGTTAGATGTACCTGCTTTAAAGCAGGTTTAGCTGTGTTTAAAATTTCTAATCAGGTCCTGAATTCATAGAATTCTATTTTTTCGAAATGCATCTAAACTGACCACACCTAAATGCAGGTAAACACACAGTATGAATAGCACCATTGGAACGTTATTACATGCATTTATATTTAGAAATGTCCTCTAAACACTTACAGTCACAGGTTTAACAGTGCCTTATATTAAAAGACTTTCAGGGGAGAGTGCAATATATTTTCTTTAAGCACATCAGGGGTGTGAACATTTTTGAAAAAACTACTTGTCCAGGGACTAAATCGGTGTCCCCAATCTACTTGTCCCTCATGACAATCTACTTGTCCAGATAAAAATAAATACATTTTAATCAAAACCGTATTTAAATTAGAGGTGATTTTAGGAATACCTGGGGCTTTTAAAAACAAAAGGAGCTTTATGGCGACTTAAACGTGTAATATTTTTAACATATCTCCTCCTCCCTGCCTCTCTCCAGGCCCACCCTCGGGGATTAGCAGGGAGGAGAGAGTCTGTCAGGAATGGACTGGCCAGCAATAGTGGGACTCAGCTGCCTTATGAGCTGCAGTACCAGGGCTGGCCAGCGGGTGCTCCCAGCAATCAGAGACTCAACCTTGCAGCCAGTCAAACACCTGGAACTAATTATACTGGTGTATTTAAGGGACATTCAGACCTGCAGACTCTGCCATGGTGTTGTGTTTCTCTTGGGCCCTGTATCCTGTTCCTGCTCTCTGTTCCTGTCTGATTCTCTGCTGACCCTGCTCTGCTCTGATCCCTGGCTTGTCTGACCATTCTCCTCTGCCTGACCCTCTGTACCACGCTGCCCGCTACCTGCTGAACCTGGCCTGTGACCCCGACCATTCTCCGCTTGCTCCCCCTGTACCTACCTGCCCGACTGATATTGACCCGGCCTGCCTGACGACGCTTGCATTGTATGTACTGTTATCTGTGGGTGGTTGGTTGGTTTGTTTGCACTGTGTTATGTTTTAGTATTGCACTGCGTTTATGTTTGTATGGTTAGTGTTAATAAATTACATTGTTTATAACATATCTGAAGTCTGCGTTTCCCTGCGTCAGTCACACACCTCTGGTCATACCCGGGAGCCCTGACAGAGTCCTTGTAGTGTAATGAGCACTGATTGGCTGCTCCTTAGGGAAAGGGTGGGTCAGGCTTATGTTTTGCTAAAAAGCCTTTTATGTTTTTTGTACAAGTTTAAAAAATCATTTTAGGCCTGAAGATGACATAAAATCCCCAAACATTATATATTTTCTGAAAGCGAGATTCTAGAGAATAAAATAGTGGTAGATCCAATTTTTTATGTTGCATGATATTACTGCAAAATTTCAGTAAAATAAAATTTAGGGCACAAGAAAAATCAATAAATTACCCTATTTTTTTGCAAAATGTAAAAGATGAGGTTGCACCGAGTAAATAGATATCCAACATGTCAAACCTTAAATTTGTGCACGCTTGCAAAATATAGTACCCTATATTTTCTATATGCGACACATTTAAAGCTCCTTATCGATTATCAGTTTAGCATTACGAAGGAGGTCTTGTGCTAGAATTATTGCTCTCATTCTGGTGTGCGTGATGATATGTAATATGAGTATCATAATTGTCGTTTTCATACGTAAGTGCCCGGCATGTGCTTTTACATTTGTACGTGTGTATATGTGAGGGTGGGGGGGGGGTTGTTATGTACTTGGGTGTAACTTGAAATTTTTGCAATTAAACAAAAATTTTTTTTTTTTCGTTTTTTACTTTTTTATTTTCATCACATAGGGGACAAAGTTCCCTATGTGATGATTTCTGCTCACAGATTGTCTTTATTGAGACCGCCAAGGTCTAAAACATCCTGCATGTCTCCACTCTGCTCCACTGAATGTAATACAGTGCACATTACAGTCATCTCAACAGGGACCCAGAAGTGACATCATAACATTACTTCCGTGTCACGACAGGAAGGGAAGGGTAGGGGACGTGTCTGCTCTCCTTCCTCCCCTCTAGCCGATGATGGTGAGCCGGTCCCGGGCCCTCAGATGGGCAAGTGGAGCTTAGGGTACCCGGGGAGAGGCTGGCATTGTGTGGAAGCAAGCGGTGGCAGCGCTGCCGCCCAAATGCTTCCACCTGATAGGTGAGCCCCGCTGCTTGCCCGCAGCAGGGCTGAAGGTTGCAAAAAAACTACCTGCCCGAAGGCCGGAACTACATGTCCCGGGCGTCAGGCGATATGAATCAATATACCTGCACATATTATGATAATATCAGGCACTTAGGAAGAGCATTGTGTACAATGATTGGTATACAGTGAGAAGGAGCAGTAAAACATAACAAATGTTTAGCACTGAAAATAAATAACGTGTTGATAGGATTATCTGAATTAAGCTGATCTCTTCTATGTGCTTATTTCAAAAATGTAAAGGATTATACACTCATTTTAAAGCACACCTGTTATGAATGTTGAGGGAGCCCCTCTGACAATGCAGTATGGGGCTTCACTCAATAGGTTGATATAGACCCTGTATAGCATTTTGGAATGTAGAGGAGCATGGCTAAGCACCACTGACTGCAAGCTAGAATTTAGATACTATGTCAGTTAAGGTTAAAGATCTCCCAAGAAACCTTGGAGCAACAAAGAAAGGCACTTAAAAAGAGAAGTATGTGAATATAAAACAGTCATACGCCTCTAGGTGGATGCAGCATCGATTCAACGCTGCATCTGTCCCCTGCTGCTTCTAAGACCAAAAACTGAGCGATATAAGACTGCTGATTGCTCAGTTCTCAGTCTTCACTGTCAGTCACTGGCTCTATGCTCTGCCCCTCCAGAGTTCACTGGAGCGCTGGGTTGTGCATGGGACAGGAGCAGCTAGCTCAGGCTCTCAGCGGCTTGCTGGTTGGGTGTAGCAGGTTTCTACATTTCCAAATGTGCTGCCTTTGTATATCACTCCATCAGTCTAACCCTTACTAGGCATGAGTGGTATGTCTACAATTCCTGGGTACAAGTGTGTGTGGGTGGATGCGGTACTTTCTAGATATTTAAAGTGGTTGATTCTTCTGATATTCCATTGGTTTGGTGCTAGGACATTGCTTTTAAGAAACAGGTGTTTCAGAAACAATTTCTAGGTCGAAACACCTAACACAAAGCAGTAGATACAGCCTGAGTATTTCTCCCTGTGTATGAAATCAAGCACCTAGACATGCATGCTGCTTCTACAAACATTTGTGAAAGAATGGGTCACTCTCAGCAATTCAAGCGTGGTACCCTGACAGGTCGCTACCTGTGCAATAAGTCCATCCATCACATTTTCTTGCTACTATATATTCCATGGTCAACTGTTAGTGGTATTATAACAAAGTGGAAGCAGCTGGGAACAGCAACTCAGCCACGAAGTGATAGGCCATGTAAAATGACAGAGCGGGGTCTGGTCAACGTCAATAGCTAAAGACCTGACAGCTCTGAGTCTGCTGTGGCTGATAATATCACATCCAAGATGGTGTCGTTCATTAGCATTCGTAAGGCTTATAGATTTCTACAAAAGGGAGACATTTACATGTAAATACCGTACATAAAATATGTTAAATGCACATACACTGTATTGCCAAACCTCTGGGACACCCCTCCAAATCATTAGATTCAGGTGTTCCAATCACCTCCATGGCCACAGGTGTATAAAATCAAGCACCTACACATGCAGACTGCTTCTACAAACATTTGTGAAAGAATGAATCACTCTCAGGAGCTCAGTGAATTCAAGCGTTGTACTGTGATAGGTTGCCAACTGTGCAAAAAGTCCATCTGTGAAGTTTCATTGCTACTAAATATTCCACAATAACATAAAATTACAGAGAGGGCATAGAGAGCTTCAAGGAATGGGTTATCGTGGATGAGCAGCTACATCCAAGCCTTACATCACCAAGTGCAATGCAAAGCGTCAGATGCAGTGGTGTAAAGCACTCCGCCACTGTACTCTAGAGCAGTGGAGATGTGTTTTCTGGAGTGATGAATCACGCTTCTCTGTCTGGCAATCCGATGGACATGTCTGGGTTTGGCGGTTGCCAGGAGAACGGTACTTGCCTGGCTGCATTGGGCCAAGTGTAAAGTTTGGTGGAGGGGGGTTATGGTGTGGGAACGTTTTTCAGGGGTTGGGCTTGGCCCCTTTGTTCCAGTAAAGGGGGGTGTCAGCTTACCAAGACAACTTCATGCTCTCAACTTTGTGGGAACAGTTTGGGGATGGCTCTTTCTGTTCTACCATGACTGCGCACCGGTGCACAAAGCAAGGTCTATAAAGACATGGATGAGCGAGTTTGGGGTGGAGGAACTTGACTGGCCTGCACAGAGTCCTGACTTCAACCTGATAGAACACCTTTGGGATGAATTAGGGCGGAGACTGCAAGCCAGGCCTACTCGTCCGACATCAGTGGCTGACCTCACAAATGCTCTTCTGGAAGAATGGTCAAACATTCCCATAGACACACTCCTAAACCTTGTGGACAGCCTTCCCAGAAGAGTTGAAGCTGTTACAGCTGCAAAGGGTGGGCCAACTCAATATTGAACCCTACGGACTAAGACTGGGATGCCATTAAAGTTCATGTCCCAATACTTTTGGCAATATGGTATATATATATCTAATATATATATATTATATATGGTATATTTCATTTCCAAAAGAGGAATGGTAATTGTCAAGGGGGTATAAAGCTGCCCATAGATTTTAGAGGGTGGTCAGATGTGCAAGCATGATATGACCACCACCAGGACAAATAAAAATACCATGAGCACTGACAAGCATGCTGTAAACTTGCAAACTTGGATCTACAGGGATTTTTCTATGGCAGTGGGAATAAGCAGAGAGCAGAAGACAGAATTCTGCCAGCACTGGCTTATCAGGGAGAAACAGTAGTGATCAAGGTAGGGTTTAACTTGTCTGATTTTTTATTCTCCTGGTTCTGCCTAATATTTCCCAGCCATGTGACAGACAAAAAAGTCATTTTTTTATATGCATTTACTTTAACCAATTGAAAACCCACCTCTTCAGGGAAGCCTACCCCAACCCCCTGCTAATTTGCCGACCTCCTCCACTCTTCCTACTACTCCATCCCCCACAGCTATCTCCTCCTGTGCCACTATCCCCTCCCTCCTAGATTGTAAGCTCGAAAGAGCAGGGCCCTCAAACCCCTCGTGTATCGCATTTTATTGTTATTGTACTGTCGCATGTTTGTAATTTACAGCGCTGAGCGAACTGTTGGCGCTTTATAAATACTGTATAATAATAATAATAATAAAATTTATTATCATTGCTTGGTATGGACCACTGCAATATGCATGTAGTAAAAATATGTCAAGTTTTACATTGGTTAAGTGTTCAGCCCAAGTCACGTAGTTTATATTTAACCTGTTTTCCCATAATCATTTAAACCTCTTAACGTTTAGAATGTTTAGAATTTCCAAGTCCAAACATATTAGTGAAGTGCATGTAAAGTCAAAAGCATTTTGTACTTTTAGGTAGAATAGGGAAGGATTAAACCCCTATTAATTTATTTTTGTAGCCTGTGTGACACTGGGGATATTTTTTGTTGCTTCCCGTCTTAAAGATGCAACAGAAAATAAGAACAAAATCCTAAAATTGAAAAGAATTCCCATCATTAAGAGTTGTCATAGGACAATTGGTGTCAACTCTGCAATTTTAAATTTCTTCTTGATTTCTATCTCTGTGACATGGTTTTTCAAAAAAACGCAAACTTGAGAAAGGGTCCTAAAGCCAGCCAAAGAGGGTGCTATTTTCTTTCCTACAGCCACTGGTTGCAGGAATGAAAATTGCTTGATTCCCCCATCAACTTGGTCAGTGTTGACAGGGGAATCCCTCCCGCTGGGCTGTTGTGTTCTCCTGATGAGGGGCAGGGGAGCCGCCCCAGCTGGGTGAACACATAGTGATTATTGCTAGCAAGTATAGCCACTGGCATTAATCACATGAATAATCTGACAGGCTGGTTGTTCCTCTAGTTGATCGATTTATCAACTTGGGTACAATCAGCCTGCCCAAACATGGTTTGAATTTCAGCAAGTCCATGCTGAACCAGCTAAAATTTGAACCATCTATGGCCAACTCAACTCTTCCCTACTATATCCAAACACGTCAAAGAAAACCATTTGCCTTTTTATACACTTTATTGGACAACTTTAGGTAAAAAATAATGTGATAATAAAGAAGTGTTAACAAATAAGAAGTAACTGAAAACACTTACCTGTGCTTCTTTTTTTAAAACACTGTTAGTAAGGCTGATGTCAGGTGGGTTAATCTTGCACTAGTGATCCTGTCACTGGTGATTGATCGCAATCTTCAGAAGCAAAATCTCTAACAGGAACCACTTCCTTGCTAGCTGAGACAGCAAGATGCCACTCCTGTTGCTAGCAATCAAGATTTACCAGTGTTTGAGGGAGTGGTTTAGCTGTCTCAGCTGGCGACATATTGATTCTTTAAGGACAGGCAAGCAGCCTCCTAGTGATTCTGACAGTTTTGGGTTTTGTCACTAGTGAGAGTCTCACATTTGACTTCAGCCTAAATCTAACAATCTGCATTACATTTAGTCTATCAAAAACCAAAGATCTGGTTATGGAATGAGTTTTTTTAATATGTGCAGGACCATGCTGGTCTTCTCTTAGTGTGTTCCCTAGCGCATCATGATAATCCTGCGTACCGTGTGATCCGAGTCAAAACAGACATACCCATATTCAGTTCAGCTTGTTAGTATAGCAGCTGGATATACTGGAAATGGTTCAATAAACCCACATTTAAATCAGAAATACCCAGTAAGCATAACTTGATGTTAGCTTTTGAATTTTCTCTTAGCCAAAGGTCTCTTAACATGATTGTTACGCAGCAGATGCAAAATCATGCCTAACTCATGACAACATCTAAAAGCTCATTATCTCTTTATTTCAGTCTGTTATTTTGGGTCGATAATATTTACTCACTCCATTGTTGTTGACATACTTATTATGTTTTCTAAGCTGCAGATCTAACACTTTGGGCATATGGACAATGTCTTTGGCTAAGAATGCTTACTAAGACCGAGTGGAATGTTAAAGTCCATTTTCATGCTGTTGGATTAATAATAATAAAGTCATATTTTCTATTGTCAGCCCTTGATATTGATATTAGAAAATTAATCTAACCATAAGTTTTCTGAATATGTATAGTATATATTTCCCAATTAATAATTAACCATTTCTAAATTGGTAATGTTTGTTCAACACCCAGTTCCTACACATTTTCATTTAGTATTTCACAGTACTTAAACTAGAAGTTCAAAATATGTGTATCAGGTTTTCTACAATCTACTTTTTGTGTCCAGGAGTGGTATGAACACAATGTAAATCTTTCAACATGGGCTAAAATATGGTGCAATGTGGCTATTTATAAAAAAAATAAAGTATGAACAAAAGTGGAGGTGTTATCTATAGTGGGCAAGCTGATACTTTGCTTTATTTCAGAGAATAATGAATCCTAATTGGACACTATGAACAACAGCTCCACTTTTTTCTCTATTTTAAACATCCCTCTCTAAAGGAAACATGCCCTAAAAAAACATGGAGGCTGCCATTGGTGACTTCTGCCTCAGCTGACCTTCCAATACTAGAGTCTGTGACCCAGAACAACTGTTGATACATTTTGATTCCAACTTTTATTATCTACGTACTGGGTGAAGGTCATTGGAAATAACGGAATCAGAATAACAGGCAGCTAACAATTTCAGAAGGGCTTTAGTAATGCCAGGCCATATATTTCTTTCATGGCAGGTTTACATTAAAGCCCAACTTCAGAATATTAGCAAGAACCCCACATCATTCAACTAACTACTGGTTTGAACAAATACAAAAACCAGCTTAAATGTCCCTCTTTACTTACTTGAAGCCATGGTCATGTGTTGCTGTTGGCATGGTCCATTTTTCTTCTGAGGGTTGTCCACAGCGCTGTCTTTGTGACTTAAATACTTCCTATTGGTGGAGGTGACACTTTCAGCGGCACGGTCTTCTCATAGACTCCAAAGTCAGGAGAATTCAAGGGGTCAGTGAGTTCAAGAAGATAACATAACAAGTATGCAAAAAAAACAGGTTCCCAGGGCAGGAAATTAGCTTGGTTCATAGAGGAAACTGTGACTTTGACCCATTACACCACAGGATGGCTTAGGAAGATGTGTTTGGAAGCAAGACTGTGAGGTAATGTAATTAATGCAAAATGTACTATTTACATTTGTTTTTACCTGGAGTTGGGCTTTAATCTGTATTTTATGAGGTCATTTATTTCAACAGTTAGGCTGATGCAATGTAGCAATTCCAATAGCATTAATGCAATGACTTTGAAACAGCTTTTTGGGAGGAAAGTACAGTGAAATTCCTTTGTTGACTTCATCATAATCTGCACCACTGCAGCCTATCATAGTTTTCGGCACCATTTATTTCAATGCAGAATCCTGCAGTACCAGCCAGAGGCACTATGAGCAGCAAGGGAAGAGGCTGAAAGAGGAATTTCACACTGGCGGATATTTGAGCTATGGTTTTACATGTATATTGCAATCAGACTGCTTCCATCATCCTAGCTTTATTTACAGCTGTCTATGATTTTTGCATATAGTGGTGTTACTGTAAAATATATCTTCACTAAAAGGAGACTTTCCTAAAAGCTTGCTTTTTAGTTAAAAAAAACCCTTTTTATGAACTTTCGTTACTTTGAAGCCCATCTGTTTTTTTTAATCAATATTAGATAACAGAAAGTGAAATAAGTAGATTAAAATGTGGTCTGTTAATGTGTCCCTGAGGAAAGTTTAACATGCTGTTCTGTGGTTTGTCTTGACCACGAACTACATTTGGAAGTAGATCATAGAGCCTG